CCCCCAAGGACGGCGAGGTCCCGCTCAGATCTGCGCGGTGCCTCACTCCGCTGGACCCACCAGCAGCCCTCGAAAGTGGCGACAGTTGCGCAGATCTCAGCCCCCCAGGCACGGCGAGGTCCCGCTCAGATCTGCGCGGTGCCTCACTCCGCAGGACCCACCAGCAGTCCTCGAAAATGGCGACAGTTTCGCAGATCGCAGCCCTCCAGGGACGGGGAGGTCCCGGTCAGATCCGCGCGGTTCCTCGCTCCGCAGGACCCACCAGCAGCCTTCGAAAGTGACGACAGTTTCGCAGATCGCAGCCCCCCCTCACGGCGAGGTCCCGCTCGGATCCGCGCGGTGCCCGACAGTTTCGCAGATCGCAGCCCCCAGGCACGGCGAGGTCCCGCTCAGATCCGCGCGGTGCCTCACTCCGCAGGACCCACCAGCAGCCCTCGAAAGTGGCGACAGTTTCGCAGATTGCAGCCCCCCAGGGACGGCGAGGTCCCGCTCAGATCTGCGCGGTGCCTCACTCCGCTGGACCCACCAGCAGTCCTCGAAAGTGGCGACAGTTTCGCAGATCGCAACCCCCCCAGGGACGGCGAGGTCCCGCTCAGATCCGCGCGGTGCCTCACTCCGGAGGACCCACCAGCAGCCCTCGAAAGTGGCGACAGTTTCGCAGATCGCAGCCTCCATCGTCGGCGAAGAGAGGGCAGGAGGAGGCGGGCGGCGGGAGGAGAAGGGACGCGACCACAGTGCTCTACTCAAAACGAATACCCAACCAAGGAGGGTTGGGAATAAGCAAAACACTGATTATACAACAGTATATGTAGTGTTATATATACATATAACGATAACAGAAGATCCCTCGGGAAACCCCTCATTTTTTTTTTTTTTTTTTTTTTTTTTTTTTTTTTTTTTTTTTTTTTTTTTTTTTTTTAAAAAAAAAAAACACAAAAAAAAAAAAAAAAAAAAAAAAAAATTTTCTCTCTCCCAGAACAACAAATCCAAATTCCAGTTTTTGTTTAATGTTTTTTTATGTTTTTTCTCTGGGGGTTCTGGGGCCCCACAATGAAAATCAAGCCTATTTCAGAACCTCCGAGTGACTTTCCATTTCGGGTTTTTGTTGCGTGTTTTTTCGAGGGTTTGGGGGCCCCGCTGAAACATGAGGCTATTTCTGGGCCTCCTGGAACCCCCAGACCAAAATCAACCTCCCAGCTCGGGTTTTGTATCTGTAGTTTTTCGGCGTTCAAGATGAATCGTTCAACTTATATGTATAATATATAAGCAATACATCGTTTTGTTTTAAAGCGTCGGGTTCCGCAACTCCCCCCCGAACACCCCAAGCTCCCCCCGCCCCCATTATCGCAGGGATTTTTTTTTATATATATATATATATATATATATGTATGTATACACAAAACTCGGGGGCCAGAAACTTTGGAATAATCATCCAAGGCCCCCAGAGAACGACGTCAGCGTCGAAGATGACGAACGTGACGACGGCGTCAACGACGACGACGACGACGACGACGACGACGACGACGACGACGACGGCTTCGACGGCGACGGCGACGATGACGACGACCCTCACACCTGTCCTGGTGCGCGTTCTGACCAGAATCTCGAGGGGAGTCCAGGCATGGCCACGGGGGCGGCGGCCGAGGCCCCAAACGTGCCCCAAAGCCTCGACCCCATCAACTTGACGACGACAGCGACGACGACGAGGAGAAGGAGGGCGACGACGACTGCGCCGCCGCCGCCGCCGTCGCCGTCCTCGTTGTCGTTATCGTTATCGTCATCGTCATCTTTGTCGTTATCGTTATCGTCCTCGTCGTCGTCGTCATCGTCGTCGTCGTCGTCCTCACTCTCGTCGTCGTCGTCGTCGTCGTCGTCGTTGTCGTTGTCGTTTTTCTCCTCCTTCCTTCGCCTGCTCCGGCGACGACGAGGGTGGCGACGACGACGACGACGGCGACGCCGTCGGCGTCGACTGATGGGGCCGCCCTGACAGGCGCACGGCGGGCGCTCTGCCTGCTGGCGCTGGCCCACGCGCTGGCGGGGGCCTCCGCGCAGGCGCCGAAGCCGCTCTGGGGCAAGGACCTTGCCCAAGGACGCCGTTCCTCGTCGTTGTCGCGACATGAAACTCCCGCTTGCAGTGTGGGCCGCATTGTCGGATCGGCGCTTTCCTCCCGTCGTTCAAGCTGGCGATCGCGCCCCAGCGCGAACAACGTTTCTGGATCCGAGTTCTTTCTCATCATTGTTGCCCCTCTCATTTCCCTTCCTCCGCCTTCCCTTGGTCCTCCTGCTCCTCCCGCTCCTTCCACTCCAGTTCTTGCTGCTGCTGTTCATCTTCGTCCTTCTCCTCCTCCTTCTCCTCCTCCTCCTCCTCTTCCTCCTTCCTCCTTCCTCATTCCTCCTTCCTCCTTCCTGCTCCTCCTCCTCCTCCTCCTCCTCCTCCTCCTCCTCCCTTACTTCTCTTTGTTTACCATTTGCCCATATTCTGTCCGAAATCCACGGTGGCGGGCGCGGCGGGACAGGGCTTCTTTCGGAGCCGGAGGCGCAACCGCAGGATTTTGGCGAATCTTGTGTTCGCGGTCGGGGGCATGTGGCGCCCGTGGCCTGGGCCGTTGGGGGACCCCGTGGCTTCACCATGCTCTGTGGCCTCTTCCTCGACCTCTTCGAGCTCCGGGACCTCTTCTGCTCCGTCGCCCTTGGCTGGGTCCTCATCGTCGGCGTCGGCGACTTTTCCACGGCCGCCAGGGGCGAAATTGAGCGATCCATCCTTGACGACCAGGACGTCCCCGTCTGAGGCCGCAGGGTCGAGCTCGGCCGAGGTTGCACGCCTGGCCAGCGCGCTGGGGGGCTTTTGGCGCAGCGTCTTCCAGCGACCTGATGTTCCTCATGTTCATTCTGCCCGATATGCCAAACGGTTCGCTCATTCGGGAGACTTCCGCGATCCGCCGCCCACCCTGGGCAAGCTTCGCCACTACCTCCAGAGAGCCTGGGAGGCTGCGCCAGGCCCCGACGGGCTCCCTTACCTCGCGTGGATTATTGGGGAGTGCCCGTCGGTCCTCATGGACGTCTTGCTCAAGCTGACGGCCAGCGAGTCGATGCCAGCCTGGTTCGGGGAGTGCATGGGGATCTTCCTTCCGAAGGACGTGGCCACGAACGAGTTGGCTTCCGAGGCAGGCCCGCTCTGGAGGCGCCCTGGCGACACTCGCCCCCTGTGGCCTAAGATGTGTTTATGATACGTTGTAGCGCAATGGCCAAAAGGGCCCCTAGAGGTCAAACGGCAGCGAATGGCGCGCTGTTACACGTGACGCGTGCTCTATATCACACCCGTGAAACATTGTCACGAGCTAGCCGGTGGATCGCGTAGTCACGCTGATCCCTGTAACCCTCTAGATAGAGGCAGCAGGCGGAGTATCCCCAGTCGGGATAGCAGTCAAGGTGTTAAATAACCGGCCATGAGGAAAAGGTAGACCAACCATGCGGGTCAAGTGTGTAACTAAAGCTCCAGATTCCCGCCAGCAGGCGGCGGACAAATCGTACCCCCCCTGGCCAGAAACGACGACACGCACGAGACCCTATCGGCCACGCGGCGGGGACAACAAACGGCCCACTTACCTGCCGGATAATCACATCACTTCAGGGTGCGCAGTATCATCATTTCTCTTCCGGGATAGTGCTCACTCTGTCCCTCGCCAGTTGCTTCGTTACCTCCTTGAAGGTAGACTCTGGGTCTGGAGTTATGTCACGTGATCATGTACGCAGTATGTTAACTAGGGTATAAGTAGGCATGGCTTTTGTAAGACAACCCACAGCCATTACACTCGTGCCAATCCAACGAATTCTATCACAAAGTAAGCGTGGATGTACTATTTCGAGTTCTTCATGACCATTTGTCCATATGTCGTGCCTCAGACTACTTAGATCTATAGTTAAATGTTTGTCTTCTGTTTTACCCATAGTGGGCGCTATCAAATGTTCCTCGAGGCTTGCACAATCAGTCACCACAAGTGTCTCATTGTCACAGCTGCCTTTTCCTTCCAATTGGTCGGCAACTTACCTTTGGCACCAAGCATACCCCGCGCGTTGGCGATGGCAGCACGAATACGTACACCAGACTCCACACCCCTGCTGGAAGCGTAGACTTGCATATTTGTCTGATAACCTTACTTGACACACATATTGGGTGAACGCTGTCGCTGTTCCCCTCGATGAATCCAGGACCAGCAAGTCCATTGAACCTGGCCCTCTGAGACCTGAGCGGCTCAACCTTTCCTTTGACTAGATCAGCTTCACCTGCCCAGCTGGCGTCAGTAACTGTAATACTTATCAGATCTGAATCCCATGACACGGCACTTCCTTTGAACGTTAACCCGCGATCTGCGGATTATGTGACTTCCTCCAGGACACAATTGGCCTCCTTGAGGTGGAGTACCTTCGCGTGACTCACTGCAGTCTGCAGGCGTCTCACGCAATGCAGCAGTTCAGGTTTGCACTGTCGTGTGACCCAAGATAGAGCACCCACAACTGACCTGGGCTGAGATATCTCTCCGTCGTTACAACTCCTGGAGAGAGGGTTGTACCTGGGAAAAGATACAACTTCGGTTTTCTCAATGGTATCCTTGGCCGATATACTGACGGTATAACCCGCGTCTTGAACAGCTTCCAGCCCGCAGTAGCGGACATGTTCCGAATTGATTTCGCGAATATCGACTTCTGCTAACACGGAACCAATGATCTTCTGACTTTCTGCGTCTGCAGCCCCTAAAATGTCATGTGCATGTGTCTTGACCGACAGGTAGTTTCTTTCTTGCCATTATGCATACTGCATCAGTCTGACATAATACCTATACGACCACCCTGCGGGTGATAAGGAGGTTGTGGGGGGGCGGGGGGAGGGGGTGGCCCATGGCGACAACTGTGATGAACGTGGTGCTGATGGGCGATGATGGTGTGGATGACGTGGCGGGTTTTTCTTGTTCTTTCGCTTGGGCGACTTGTGTCGTTCGGTTTGCCGCTGCACGACGCGGCACTCAGCCCGCGACGTCCCAGTCGACGACGGGTGCACTGGCAGTGCCTGGTGCGGCGGGCAACCGACGGGACAAGGTGGGCTACCGCTTGACAAGGCCGGGGGGGGGGGGCATTTGTGTTGGCGGGCCCCTGGCGACAGCAGAGTGAATTCCTCTCGCTGGCCCACGCAGCTTCGCCTCGCCCGCGCGCGCGGCGCGAGCACGAACTCGAAACTCGATTTCCTGGTGAGGGGGCTCCGTTACACTGCGAGTCCGTGAGTTTCGAACCTCTTGCGGATTTTCTTCCATGGGCCTCTTCTCGCGTCGCGCGTGTCGTAGACAGGCACGCGCGCAATAAGGGCCCCCCCATCCGGTGCGTTTTAAAAAGGGGTTTCGTATTTGCGGAGTGTCGCTTCCTAGTGTCTTCGTAAGTTCGTTTCGCTTTTAGTTGAGCGTTCCAGCGGCCCCGATTTGGAGGCTGCCGCCCGCCGTATTCAGCGCGAGCATGCGCAGGTTATCGGCCATGCGGCGGGGGCAGATGCTTGTTTTTTGGGGCCGGCCGAGCTTCGCGGCGCAAATTTGGTTGGCTCTGCAGCCGAGAGCGGATGCATAGCAGGTTATGCTTGGCGAAGTCTTGCTCCCATCATTTGGGGAGCCGGCAGTTTCCATCGCTCTCGGGGGGGGGGGGGGCTCGAGTCAGTCGGGGGGGGGCTTGAGAAGCATGAGGCGACCGAAATCCTGCCCCATGGAAGTAGGCAAATGTGATGTCCGCACGCATCAGCGTCTTCCTTGTTCCTGCGGCCCACGATGCAATTAACATTGGGCCCTCAAGCTCGCATGTGGCGAATCCGTGCGTATACCAAGCGATTCTTAAAGTCTCCTCGTGCGACGAGTGTGCCCACGTACTGCGGCGCAACCGGTGGTCCTCCTGGCCTGCGGAGGTGTTCGTGTTTATCAATCTCAATCCATTGCGTTGGCACCATACGATACCCTTCATCAAGGAGCTTATGTAGTTCCACGGGGTCTATAGGTACGGCAGCATTGAACTTCCGCCATTTTCCCCATTCATCCTGTCTGGCAAGTCTTATTCCATTCTTAACGTCTTCAGATTCACGATGGTACATCAGGTTTTTGACGCTTTTCAGCTTCGTCTTCGATTGTGTCTTGTTGATTGCACGCGGATCAAAGAATCCAACAAGTGATTGATGTGGCTTCGCCGCCATCGAAGCTTGTCTGCTCTCGAGAAGATTCATACCTGGTCCCGATGCGCCCGCTCTTTGCATGGCTTCGAACAGCGGGTTCGCTGGTTCGGTAGCGGGTTCTGACATAGAATCGGATGTTCTTCCCGTTGTGCCTTCTCCAGTATCTACTCTCCTGCGCATCCCTTCATTGCGACCTTGCATACCATGAGGAGCATCATCCAGCAGTGATCTCTGCAAAGGTGTCCGGGCCACCTGTGATGGCCCCGGCGTTGGCGGCGGCGCAGGAGCGACCATTTCGTCTTCATGGTCATCGTCTTCTTCCATTTGGCGAAATGTTCCCTCGATAACCTCAGGATCCTCGTGGATTCCTGGTTCGACGCTAGTCTACGAACGACTGTTGTTGACCGTCTGGAGTCGCATGCCTTTCGACTCCTCCGTTGTGATGTCTAGAGAGGTATTTATACGCCAATGCTCTCGCCGCTGTGCACGGTCGAAGCCTATCGATAGCTACACAAACGGGCACCCCTTCGGTGATTACCCATGCGTTTTTACCAACCTGGTATTCGCCAGCCAGAGGTGTAGCTTTCCTGAGAGCGGCTCGTGCGGTCCCACTCCCGACGCCTTGCTCTGCGAACGCTCTTCTGGCAGAGGAGCGGATAGCAGCTTGGCGGGAAAACTCGTCAGCTCCGTCCCTGGCGACGTTTGCTAATGCACCTAGGTCGAACGCTTCTTCGTCGTCAAACTGACTTCCAGGCACGCGAGGCATTCGTCCGAGTACCCACTGAGCAGGCGCGAAACCACCACCTCGTGACATCTCGTTCTTAGTGCCATCAACTTCCGACGCTGTCGAGATAACCTCGTCAGGGCCGACGACATTTTAAACATTCACG